TGCGCTGCTGCTCCGTGCGCTGCTGCTCCGTGCGCTGCTGCTCCGTGCCCTACTGCTCGGTGCGCTATTTCTCCGTCTCCACGCGGGTTCTCCGCATCCATCGCCGCCTGGATCATTTCTCGTGCGCGCTGCTTTATTTCTGCATCCAAGTAATGGTCTTTATAACGCGGATCAAGTACAGTCGCGATGAAGTGCAGAGGATCCGAATAGATCACAACATATTTCGGCCGTATTGTTTCGGTGATAAAAGTGTTTCGGCCGAAAACCGAAAATGCCCTTTTGGGCCATTTTCGGCCGAAAATTTTCGGTGGCCGAATATTCGGTGCATCCCTAATATGTACCAGGGGAATTTAAGTCCAGAACTGCAATGGTCCACTAAAACTACTGAACTAAGTCTCCAGGCTGTCAGAAGGACAACGATCTGCTTCTCACCAGCTTCTGTACCTACAGACTGACCACATTTTCTAGTTATCTTAAAAATATATTTTAAACTTAACTAGACTAACCAGCCTTGTGCTGAACCTTTAAATGAGACCAAAACATTTGTTATCTCAGTGGTTGTGGAATACGCCCCTCTGGCTATTGAACCTAGTGGAACCCACAGGATATACTAAATGGTAAATGCTGTGCTTTTATATAGCGCTTTTATCCAAAGCGCTTTACAGATCTTGCGTCACATTCATACACTGACGACCGCGTCTACCATGCAAGGTAGACGGAGGAACCAGGGATCGAACCACCAACCTTCCGATTGATAGACAACCGACTCAACCCACTGCTGCCCCTGACTGAATATGTATAATTGTAGATTCTGGACTGAATGCAGCCTGTAACCAGAGCAATAATTTAATTGCATTGGATGTGTACTTTAAGGATTAGATCAGGGATTACGCTCAAAGCAGGTCCCCGGTGAAGCCTGTGCGATGCGTCACCACTGAAGGGAACTGATGTCATTCAGCCAGACTTGGGTTCAGATGCTGTTCTGATGCTGATGAGGTGTTTATAATGCCTGGTCTCTACTTGACTGAGTTTATTTGGGGTTATGATACCAGTGGAAGGTTCGACTGGGCATACGTTGTCCATCGGACATGGAACGGCAAAGGCCTGTAATCTTTATCCTTGTTTTAACAGCTATATTGACTGTTATTGTGCTTATTCACATCAGTGACCTGGGAGCAGTTAACTGGGACCGAACGTGTTCTATAGCGATCAGTGCTTGCTAATTTCTAGGCTTGCTGCCACGCCTGGAACTCTCGAAAGATTTCACATAGGATTTGAACCCAAGTGGCGTGCCATTGGCTGATTCCCAGCACGGAGAAGTGCTGGTGTCACACACACAATAGCAACACAGCCTCTCTTCATCTTTCAGAGGGAACACGGTGTTGTCATGACATCCATTCAGGGATGATTGTTTCTTACCTACGACGTGCTTATTGTGTTGTGGTGAGATGTGGCACTCAGTAATCTGGACCGGTTTTCTAGATTACACCCCTGTTTACCCGGCCTGGTTATTCTAATCGGACTGACGTTATCAGGAACCACGTCAAAACCATTCCACTCTCTTGTCTTTTTTATTTATATTTTTAAACTGTCATGATACAGAAAGGGAATAAATTGTTACTTGTACATATGAAAAGCTTGAAATTCAGATGCTGTAGCAAAACCCAACCCACTAAAACTCTGGAAATGTATTGATGACATGATTCATGTGTTGTTGAAAGGTTTAATATTGACATTGATGGCACCAGAGACTTTCCAATCGGGTCACCTATTGTTATTTAACTTCTGCCCTTGGGTAATGAAAACTGCAGCAACCTTTTAGTTGAGGTCAACTTGTTTGTATTCATTATTTATTAAATATGTACTAACAGACTGAAAAACAACATGATTTTTAAATTAATTATACAAACCAGCCCAAGTTTGAATATATAAATGTTGCATCAGAGCCAATGCCCAGGGCACAGATGCCAAGCCAACACTGTTTTATACAGTAACGAAAGAATAACAACACTAAACCAACACTATTTATACTGTAACAAAATGAAACCAAAACTCTGTGCTCCTGGTGTTCTCCTTGAGCTTTGTGCTCCTTGTGTTCGTCACTAGCTCTGTGCTCCTGGGGTTCTCCTCTAGCTCCGTGCTGCTGGGGTTCTCTACAGAGTGGTCGTCCTCCTGCTGCCCTATCCATCGTTGTTATTCAGTTTCATCGCAGCTAAGAGATGTTCCATCATCTCCTGGAACCCATTAATTTATTCAAATAACTAACAAATGTATTTTCAAACCCCAGTATTCCTTGCCACGAGCCACACCTTTCCTGTTGGCCCTGGATCCGTATTAATGACAGTGTTAAAAATACGTTTTGTATTTTGTTTCATTAGTTTTATAAGCTCACACATCCCTCTTCTCCATCTAGGTGTCCCAGCAGTCAGCCAAGTCAATCCCGGCCATGGTCTGTGGGGAGTTGACCGAACAGATCCGTCGTGAGATCGCTGCCTCTCTGCACCAACGCAAAGGAGACTTCAACTGTTACTTCCTGTCTGATCTGGTCACTTTCACACTGCCTGCAGGTAACTGTCCACGCTACCAACCACTGTTCATTGTATTGTGCTTCACTAGACTACATTATTTCAACATGATTTACACCACTACAAGCTGTTGCTTGTAATGGACTATTTGGTAATTGACATATAATATGGCTGACATTGATTGTTTCATGGTTGTGTAGGATGAGTTGTTCATGGTTGTGTTGGATGAGTTGTTCGTGGTTGTGTTGGATGAGTTGTTCATGGTTGTGTTGGATGAGTTGTTCATGGTTGTGTAGGATGAGTTGTTCGTGGTTGTGTAGGATGAGTTGTTCGTGGTTGTGTTGGATGAGTTGTTCGTGGTTGTGTTGGATGAGTTGTTCGTGGTTGTGTTGGATGAGTTGTTCGTGGTTGTGTTGGATGAGTTGTTCGTGGTTGTGTTGGATGAGTCATTCGCGGTCGTGTTGATGAATTGTATACAGTATTGTATGTTTTCTCATTAGGATGAATGTATGCTATCATTGGTAGTGTTGAACAGACAGTCCTTGATAGAGAAGCTGCATGCTGTCTCTGCTGTCAGCATAATGTCTTCACTGAGACGTCAGAGACGTGTGCCCTCTCTGGTTAACTATGGATTGGTGCCTGGCTGTAATCTGTTTTAGAGTCATCTGCTGTTATCTGTTTCAGAGCATCCTGCTTAATACTGTTTCAGAGCATCCTGCTGTAATCTGATTCAGAGCGACCTGCTGTTGTAATCTTTTTCAGAGCATCCTGCTGTAATCTGTTTCAGAGCATCCTGCTGTAATCTGTTTCAGAGCATCCTGCTGTAATCTGTTTCAGAGCATCCTTCTGTAATCTGTTTCAGAGCATCCTGCTGTAATCTGTTTCAGAGCATCCTGCTGTAATCTGTTTCAGAGCATCCTGCTGTAATCTGTTTCAGAGCATCCTGCTGTAATCTGTTTCAGAGCATCCTTCTGTAATCTGTTTCAGAGCATCCTGCTGTAATCTGCTTCAGAGCATCCTGCTGTAATCTTTTTCAGAGCATCCTGCTGTAATCTTTTTCAGAGCATCCTGCTGTAATCTGTTTCAGAGCATCCTTCTGTAATCTGTTTCAGAGCATCCTTCTGTAATCTGTTTCAGAGCATCCTTCTGTAATCTGTTTCAGAGCATCCTGCTGTAATCTGCTTCAGAGCATCCTGCTGTAATCTGTTTCAGAGCATCCTGCTGTAATCTGTTTCAGAGCATCCTTCTGTAATCTGTTTCAGAGCATCCTTCTGTAATCTGTTTCAGAGCATCCTGCTGTAATCTGTTTCAGAGCATCCTTCTGTAATATGTTTCAGAGCATCCTGCTGTAATCTGTTTCAGAGCATCCTTCTGTAATCTGTTTCAGAGCATCCTTCTGTAATCTGTTTCAGAGCATCCTTCTGTAATCTGTTTCAGAGCATCCTTCTGTAATCTGATTCATAGCATCCTGCTGTAATCTGATTCATAGCATCCTGCTATAATCTGATTCATAGCATCCTGCTGTAATCTGTTTCAGAGCGACCTGCTGTTGTAATCTGTTTCAGAGCATCCTGCTGTAATCTGTTTCAGAGCGACCTGCTGTTGTAATCTTTTTCAGAGCATCCTTCTGTAATCTGTTTCAGAGCATCCTGCTGTAATCTGTTTCAGAGAATCCTGCTGTAATCTGTTTCAGAACATCTTTCTGTAATTTGTTTCAGAGCATCCTTCTGTAATCTTTTTCAGAGCATCCGGCTGTAATCTGATTCATAGCATCCTGCTATAATCTGTTTCATAGCATCCTGCTATAATCTGTTTCATAGCATCCTGCTGTAATCTGTTTCAGAGCGTCCGGCTGTAATCTGTTTCAGAGCGTCCTGCTATAATCTGTTTCATAGCATCCTGCTATAATCTGTTTCAGAGCATCCTTCTGTAATCTTTTTCAAGGCCTCCTGCTGTAATCTGTGGTTCAGCGGATTTCTTTTTCTCTGCCTTGCTTTGTCTGCTCTGATCTTACCTCCTTTTCCTCAGAACTTTTAAAACTTTATAGATAGGGCGAGGTTATAATAAAAAGGCTAAATATGCGTGTAACAAGTTGCAACTGGTAGCTTAGCAGTTAGAGGGTCTGACCAGTAACCTTAAGGTTGCTAGATCAAATCCCAGTCGATAAGGTGAAATAAAGTAATCTGTCATTTTATCCCAGAACAAGGCTGTAAACTCTAGTTGTGTCCACTGTCCAGGTTAAAGGGACAATTTACTGGCTGACACATTATTTGCTGGGTGCGTTTCTAATGTTTATTTTATTTAGGTGAGCTGTGCCTCACAATCAGACTGTTTCAGGAGTTTTCGTTTGTATAATCTCCTGACCTTGTAGATTGATGTGATCTAAATATTTGGGGGTGGCTTGTTTTTCATGTATTTTTTTATTTAACCAGATAGGCCGATTGAGAACAAATTCTGATTTGCAACGGCTACCTGGGGAGAAGCTGGGGATTGAACCTAGGGCATCATACGTACAAAGCATGCACTCTTACCACTGAGTTACACCAACTGAGCTAATTATGCAAGAGCATTGCTGTCTAGCTGGCCTGTTTTGCAAAAGTTTGTAATCAACACCAGAATCACTCATTTGTAAATCGTGAATGAATGGTTATTGAAGTCCATCTGGCTTATTACGTTTACTTTGATTGTAATAAACCAATCCCACTTAAACTAAGTTCCTGCCTATGTAAAATGTGTGTATCAACTTGTTGATGTGTGTCAGGTTCAAGCTGGGTTTTTGTAAAAGCACTTTGTGACAACTTTGTTGTAAAATGGGCCTTATAAAATACATGTTATTTGATGTGTGTGCTGTCAACAACTGATGAACATTTCTAAAAACATGTCTATAAGAATTGTACCATGTTAACATTGCAAAATTCCTCTTTAGGAAAAATACAGCAAATCCTACGTGAAAAGAATATATGTCTCTCTCTCAGCTAGAAAAAGTCAATGTGTTCATTATTGACAGGGGAAGTGCGTGCGTGCGTGCGTGCGTGGGATGTTCAGCATCGACAACAGTTGTCTGGAATGTCATTACAAACATTTCTGTTTTTCAGTGTCAGTTCAGTTTTATCTGTTTTTCCTTTTAAGGCACCCAAAATAAGAAGATGTACTCCGAGTGTTCGATACATCCAGCTGATGTTATATGTACATCCAGCTGATGATCATATAGATATGTCATAACCTGATTGTCTTGCTTCTCTCTTGTTTTTTTTTAAGACATAGAAGACTTGCCTCCTGCGGTCCAGGAGAAGCTGTTTGATGAGGTGTTAGATCGAGACGTCCAGAAAGGTAAAGGGCCCACAGAAACCCAGTGCCTGAACCGAACCAGAACACTGCTGCCAGAGTTCACGCTCCTCTTCTCTCACAATCCTCTCTACCTCACTGTCACTCTCTAATTAGGCTATTGGAGCGCTCTCATTTCTCTCCCCCACACTTACACAGTTACTCTCTGTCTGTCTGTCTGTCTGTCTGTCTTTGTGTGCGTGTGTGTCTAGTCTTGGAGGTGTCCTGTGACCCATTTCGGCTGTACTGTAATTGGGTCACATGAGAGACGTGGTGTTTCTCTGTGCGTTTGTGGCAGGAAAAAAGTGAGGTGATCTAATTGAGTCTGTGTGTGTGTGTGTGTGTGTGTGTGTGTGTTTTCTGTGCCCGTCCAGAACTGGAGGAGGAGTCCACCATCATTAACTGGTCCCTGGAGCTGGGTACGAGGCTAGACAGCCGGCTATATGCCCTGTGGAACCGCACCCAGGGAGACTGTCTTCTGGACTCTGTGCTGCAGGCCACCTGGGGTATCTATGACAAGGACTCTGTGCTCCGTAAAGCCCTGCATGACAGCCTGCACGACTGCTCCCACTGGTGAGGAACACAGCAGTCACATACAGATGGGATGATGTCGTCACATGGACTGCTGTTATTAATGTCTGTTACTGTCCCTATTGCCGCTGGTCCCGACTGGTAATTCCTTCAGTCCAAATAGGACCTGGACTGTTTGCCACTGAACGATGGTTTCCCATTAGATATGTATGTGTGTTGTTTTAAGAAAATTACATGATTTGACCCTAAATTAAAGATGTGATTTCTCTTTGAATGTAAGATCACTCTTGATGACCAACAATCAGATTTTTTCAAGGCTTTACTTTGTGTGTTTATCCCTGAGCCGACCTGCTAAATGACGCAAATGTATGTTTAAACAAATGTGCGGTGTATTTGAACACTGACAGGCTAATTAAAATAATGTTTCTTGCCTCAGGTTTTACACGCGCTGGAAGGAGTGGGAGTCCTGGTACAGCCAGAGCTTTGGCCTGCATTTCTCCCTCAGAGAGGAGCAGTGGCAGGAGGACTGGGCCTTCATCCTCTCATTGGCCAGCCAGGTATGCAGGCCCCGCCTCCACACACCCACATGATCAAATACACTTAACAAAAATGTAAACGCAACATTAGTGCTAACAGGGATGCATCAGATTTGTGGTTAATAACCCTTTTATCCTGGGGGTCATCTATTTGAGTCCTGACTTGTGTTTTATGTTCTTCTTTAATGTAGTTTCATTCCACACATTTCTACAATACGACAGAGAGAGGCTTTTGCCACTTTTGTATCTTCATGTAACCCCGTCCTCACGTCTGTTTTGTTCCCAGCCTGGGGCCAGCCTGGAGCAGACTCACATCTTCGTCCTGGCACACATCCTCCGGAGACCAATCATAGTGTATGGAGTGAAGTATTACAAGAGTTTTCGCGGGGAAACGTTAGGCTACACTCGTTTCCAAGGTGAGGGGTTGTCATGACCGTGTTATGTTGTCTGTCTGTTTTATGATTATTACAGTTCACAGAGCATTTTAAAGACCCAGAGATGTGTCACCATGGTGGCGTTATGTTGTCTGACTGTTCTATGATTATTGCAGTACACATAGCATTCTAAAGACCCAGAGACGTTCTACCACAAGATTTATATCGGTTCTTGTTTGCATCACGCCTTAGTGCGTTGGTTTAACTGTGACTCGCGTGTCATACACACACACACACACACACACACACACACACACACCATCATCATGGAGTAGGCAATTGAATTGTATCATCACCTGGACACTGTGTGAAAACCGATCATTTCTCACTCTCATGAATGAGTGTCAGCAACGTACATAAGGTTTGGGTGTCATGTGGTTGCAGTCTAGCATGACTGTGTTATGTTAAGACACATGGCTTTCCATTCTAATCTAGTTGTTCATAATCAGAAAAGCACCAGATACGATCTGAATCACTTGAAACCAACATATGCTAAACTAGATTACGAAACAAGCAGCTCGTTTTGGAAATTACTGTTTTAATTTGCCGTTCTCAGCAATCAATGAACATCCTGTTGGTGTATTTATACATTTTTACCAAAATCTATTCAAACGGATTAAAATCTATCCACCTGTTTCTATGCAGTGTGCAGTATGATAGTAAGATAGATGTCTTTATAAACCATTAAGAAATGAGATGGTTGTGTAGTTTGTTGAGACAAGCATTTATTTTGCTCCACCGACATATCTGGTAACATGAGATCCAAAACCCAAATATTCCTGAATTATAACCTTTTTACACATGTTATGACAACATAGATTTAATTCTGTACCTTCTACCCAGGTGTTGCTTATAATAGCAGCAGCAGCTAGCTACCCTGAGCCCACAGAGAGTTAGAATACCAGCCTGCACCACACAGCTGTACTCTGGCTCTCCACACGGATACTGGCATGGTGCTCAGCACCGGAACCAGAGTCCACTTGTCTCTGTCTGTGTAATTGTACTCCTGAATGGATCTGTTCCTGAGAGGGAGATCCAGTGTCATGTGGATTCAGGCTTTTGTTGTGGCCAAGGTTGCCAGTTGGTTTGAACCCCCCCACATGCCTTTGTCTTCCTGTGTGTGTGTGTTCATGCTACAGCCTTATTTGCTAGTGAAAGCGAGGCAGAGAAGAAGGTTGTAATGGCGGCTCTTTGTCGAGGTTGTTTCAGCGGTGGCAGGTGTGACGTGGTCACCTCCCCGAAACTGGACCATGTGGTTATATATTCACAGGTCGTTAAAGCACAACGGCTCGGAAATAATGACATGAAATATAGAGTGCCTGAATACAATATTTGGAAGCCAATTATCTAGACTTTTAAATCTCATCACTAAAAATATCCGCTCCTCAGCAATCCCAAAAGTAATGGAGTGTAAAACGTCAGATTCCCTGGAGTGTCTGTCAATGTCTGATTGGCGGCTTAAATAGCTGTGACGTTTAATCTGTCTGTCTCTAGGAGTATATCTCCCCCTGCTGTAATGTTTTGTCTGTCTGTCTCTAGGAGTATATCTCCCCCTGCTTTGGGAACAGAGTTTCTGCTGGAAGAGTCCCATCGCCCTGGGTTACACGCGGGGACACTTCTCAGCCCTGGTGGCCATGGAGAACGACGGTTACGACAATCGTGGCGCGGGCGCCAACCTCAACACTGACGATGACGTTACAGTCACCTTCCTGCCCCTGGTGGACAGCGAGAGGAAACTGCTACACGTACACTTCCTGTCCGCACAGGAGGTACGAGTCATCATTTGTCACTCTAGGGTTTAGGTCACAATAAACTGGTCGGCCACTGGTGGTGTTGAACAATGACAGTAATGCATGATGGGTTTTATTTACCTTCTCTTTGCCCCATTTCTTCCTTTCTCCCTGTCCCTCTCTCTCCCCCTCTCTTTTCAGATGGGGAACGAGGAGCAGCAGGAGAAGTTGCTGAGGGAGTGGCTGGACTGCTGCGTTACGGAGGGAGGCATGCTGGCCGCCATGCAGAAGTCCTCCCGCCGACGCAACCACCCCCTGGTGACGCAGATGGTGGAGAAGTGGCTGGACGGATACCGGCAGATACGGGCCTGTGCCTCGCTCTCTGACGGTGAGGAGGAGGAGGACGACGAAGACGAGTGAACTAAGGAGGGAGGGACACACGGCAGGCGGAGACGAGGGTCAGACATCACAGCTCGCGGAGGATAGATAGAGGATGACGGGCGTACTTTGGACAGCGTGCCTCCACATCTCAGAGAGAAGCCACGTTCCTCTGTTCTGACGCCTGACAGGATGTGTCCTGAACCCCACAGGGCTCTGGTCTAAAGTAGTTCACCAAACGGGGATCAGGTGGCAGACGGAGAGGTCAGAGGTCATCCTTCCGCCATCTCAGAAGCACTGAAGTGAGGTTCTGCAAGAACATTCTAGAATGCTCCATGAACTGTTCGGAACACGTGGTCAGTAGCAGGCCTCGGCAACGGTAACGTGGAAGTTCTTCAACTGACAAGCTGGTCATGTTCCAAATACTGCTGAGAAATAGTAGCTACCTTTGTTTGTTGCAGATGAAGAACTCTAGCTGGTAAAATGTTTATCATCTTCAGAATATTAGGATTTTCTCTTTCTCCTTAATAATGCATGTATCCTATACATTATGTACACTAACAGGAAGAAGAACTATACCAGCATTAAAGTCAACGACCGGAACTCTCATTGAGG